TTTTTTTCAGTCAGTATTTAATACAGCTGGCAAAATAAAATGTTAAAATATGTATTATGTGCTTCTGTTTTTTAATTCAGGATATTATAAAAAATCCTTCATTTTATGGGAAGACCCTCTTGATTCAAGAGAAAACTCCAGTTTTTAAAAAATGGCTGCTTATTAATTATTTGTTAATCAATCTATAAGATAAATCAACTTCAGATTAATTAATTATCAATAACTTGCATCCTTAAGGAGTTAACTTCATTTATATCAACTCATATTCATGTAATTAAGCGTTTTAATGATTTGGCCGATTAATCGATTATTAAAATAATCGTTAGTTGCAGCCCTAAGCCCGACTCCCCAGGTTTCCCCTCAGACACCGATGGACTCACATCCACTTGACCCGGTTCCCCGGCTCCCTCTGGACCAGGCCGAGGCCTCGCAGGACGCCGATGATGTTTAGGACTCGGCAGGTCAGGGTCTGCAGGTTTTTGGCCGCCTCCTCGATGTCGACGACGCCTTCGCCGGACGCCATCAGCAGCTCGAGGAAACCCCGAGTCAGCAGGGACAGAGGAGTGTCTGAGCACAGAACCACAGAAAGACCCGTTCGGTTCACAGTTGGACCGACCGGAACCGGAAGCTTCCAGGTGCCACTCACCTGCTATGACAACCCTCACAGCTGCTTCGGGAGAATCACTGAATAAAAAAAACAGGAGAATTATTTAGTTTTCCTGCAACCAAACAGAGAAACGCTGATTTAAATCTGGAGCAGAGCTCAGTACCGGGTCGTCTCAGGTTCTGCTGGTTTCTCAGCCCCGCCACCTGAATCCTATCACAGGTTAGAGAAGGTAAAGATCCATTTCTCAGAGCCTCCAGAAAATAATCTAACTAAATAAGAGCATCCAGACCTGCTTTGGTGGATCCGGTCCGGGGGACCACTGCGCCTCCTCCTGAAGGGCGTCTCTGCTCCAGGAGCCCACCAGGCCCAGCGGCCCGTCCAGGTAAGGGGGCATGATGGGAATGGCGTCGCCCCTGATCCCGGCTTTACACAGGTCCTCCGGCAGGAAGTGGTCCTCGCAGATTATGTGTTCCTCCAAACGGTCCTTATCGGTCTCCCTCAGCGCCGCCAGCCACACCTGGAACATCACAAACACACCTTTGGTTTCCAGGAAATAAACAGGTCCCAACTCCCTGCTCAGCTGATTTCCTGCAAAACTGAACAACACACCTGTTCAGCAGCTTGACCCGGACAGAAACATATTTAAACAGAAATAAGAAGAAAACAACACAATGCAACAGAAATGCTAACAACGCAAAACAAAATGTTACAACAACACAGGGTCCTTTAGCATGACGTCACATCTCATATATGGAAGCATGGAGGTTATTTCTGACACTAAAATCTCTCAAAAGCTACAAGTTTTCATTACTTTTTAACGTTTTCCACAGAACACAAGTTTTTATTTGTATCTCCATCCTATTTCGCTGGATACGTAAACTTTAACTGTTTATTTATATATTTAGAGAAAATCTTATAAAAACCTTGTCGGGTTATCAGCCATGTTCAATAAATGTTTTTATCCAACGTCACCAGGAAGTAACCTGACGCAAAGCGTGAGGAAAAACAACAGATAAACACGGAGCTGGGCTCCGGCTACTTCCTGGAGTCCTCTTACCTTCACCCGGTCCGGGTCTCTGGGGAACCTGAAGAACCTCCGCGTGGGTCGGTTCAACGCAAGCCGGTTGGGGGCCACCATCCGGTTCGGACAGCCCGACACGATGCACTTCCCCATGCTGACCCGGTTCTGCTCGGTCCGGACAGAACGCAGAACCAGAACTAGCAGCACATGTTTAAACTCTGAGGTGTTTTCAACACGCAGCTCACGCCGCGTAGCTCGGTGCTGCTGGCTTTTTACGTCATCACGTCCCTAATAGCCGGAAGTAGTCAAAACGGAAGTTTGCATTCAAAATAAAAGTTCTTTATGTTGATTTTATTTTATAAAACTGTTGAAACGTAAGAAGTGAATTCCAAATGTGCATCCAGGTAAAAATGGTCAAAGTAATGCTGAAGCAAAGACAGATAATTTAAATAGATGAGTAAAAATAAAAAGTCTGTTTAAACATTTGTTTGACTTCACATTTATTCATTTGATAATAATGAGTTTGATAAATGTTCAAACTTTAACATAAAAATTACAAAAATGCAGTTTTTAATGTGATATTATATCACAAGGATAATAAGACAAAACATCCAATGAATTATCAGGTGAGTTCTGCTCACCTGATTTCTGAATAATACGTGTAGCTGTAGTCACAGGAACATCAAGCTACTTGGAGATGGGTTTATAACCTTTACCTTTAACATGCTTGTCTATAATTTTCTTTCTAATCTCCTGAGACAACTCTTTCCTTGGCTTCCTCTGGTCCATGTTGAGTGTGATCCACACCATGTCCCCAACAGCACAGTGAGTATCTGAAGCCAGACAGTTCCACTGACGGATTACAAGATTGAAGACGTCTGTGATGCTAATTACTGGACACACCTTGATTTAACATGACCACATGTTGGTCACACGTTTTCAGAGTCATTTCTGATCAGGCCTGTTTCATGAGTTTGATGTTTAAATTCTGTTGAAACATGGCTGAACAGCAATGTCTGACTTTCATTTGTTCATTTCATAGAAGTTTTATTTATTATTACTTTTGTCAAATTCAAGTTATTTCTGTGACCACTGTGGGTTTTTCTTTTCATAAACGAGGGCTGCCAACAATTCTGTCCACGTGTGTGATAAAAGAATAAAAATAGATTCAATGAATTGGTCCTGAAAAGAAATTTAAACAAGTTTGATTACTTCATTTCGTGTTCCTAACCAGATAAAAAAGTACACCAATAATAATAATAATAATAATAATAATAATAATAATAATAATAATAATAATAATAATAATAATAATAATAATAATAATGCGCCTTTCAGGACACCCAAGGACACTTACAGCATCAGACACATCATTGAAGAATGTGTGAAATTACAGAGACAAGCTGCCATGAGTTACAGAGCATGGATTACAAATGAAGTTAAGATGGAAATGCTAATCTAAAGAGATGTGTTTTCAAAGCAGTCTTGAACACAGAGAGAGAGGGAGTGTTTCTTAGGTCAGGTGGTAGACAGTTCCAGAGGAGAGGTGCAGAACAGGTGAAGGCCCTGCTCCCCATGGTGGAGAGGCGGGCAGTGGGTACTTGGAGGTTTAGGGAAGAAGAGGATCTGAAAGAGCGGGAGGGGATGGAGATGTGTACGAGGTCGGACATGCAAGGAGGGGCAAGATGGTGGATAGCTTTGAATGTGAGAAGAAGAATTTTGAAGACGATGTGTGGTTTGACCAGGAGCCAGTGGAGCTGCTGCAGGACTGGGGTGATGAGGTTATGGGAGGAGTTTTGGGTGACAACACGTGCAGCCGAGTTCTGGACCATCTGAAGCTTATGGAGGGATTTGTTGGGGAGGCCAAAGAGAAGAGAGTTGCAGTAGTCGATACGTGAGGTCACAAGACTGTGGACAAGGCTGGCTGTGGTGCGAGGTGTGAGAGATGGACGGAGACGGTTGATATTTCTGAGGTGGAATTAGGCAGACCGAGTAACATTACTGACGTGTGCAGTGAAGGAGAGAGTGGTGTCGAGGATGACACCAAGACTCTTCACCTGAGGGGAGGGGGTTAGCAGAGTGTTGTTGATAGGGATGAGGAGATTATTAGATTTTGAGATTGAATTTTTAGTGCCGACAAGGATGATTTCTGTTTTATCACTATTCAGTTGATGGAAATTATCTGAAAACCAGTGATTGAGCTCATTGAGACAGTCAGTGAAGATGGAGGGAGGGTGTGTGGAGTTTGGCTTGGTTGACAGGTAGAGCTGTGTGTCATCAGCATAACAATGGAAATGGATACCAAATTTGCGGAAAATGTAACCAAGAGGAAGGAGGTAAGTAATGAAGAGAAGGGGTCCAAGGACAGAGCCTTGGGGCACGCCAGTGGAGACGGGGGATGACTCAGAGCGGAGGGATTTAATCTGGATGAATTGAGTGTGGTCAGAAAGATAAGACTTGAACCAGTCAAACGCAGTACCTGAGATGCCAATGGATGTGAGTCTGTTGATTAATTGAATGTTTGAATGTGAAAAGAGTTCATACAACCACACCAGCGCTGGGCTGAAATGCAGGTTCAATGCTTTTCTCTCCGTGCATTCGGCCAAGCATCCAGGAAGTATTGTTACTTATAACAACTTCTCCAGGATCTGACCCCACCTACTAATTTTAACATCACTGGGGGGATACACTTTCCTGCTCCGGGGTCAAATCCTCTCAACATAATTCCTTTAGTGTTTCTTTTACATTCAGTAACTTTGTGTTGAATATGTGTTCAGGCATGTAGCTACTTATATACTTCACGCTCTGGGTGACCATATCGCCTAGCTATCCAGATTATAACACTATATCATGTTTCACCTAAGAAAAAAACAGAATGTGTGGAGCTTTTAAAAATCAGTAAGTAAACAAACCCCAAATAAATTTCTTCAGTCCCATTGATGAGGATCAACTGATTCTGGAATCTGTTGGTTGTTCACTTCAGGTCTGATTAGAATCAATTTGGAACGGATGAGTTTTATTGTGTCCTGATGAATTTAAAATGAAAAGAGATCAAGCTCTTTCTCACTAGCACTGTATGCAGATGACCCAATTCTCTTCATCCAAACAAAAAATACCAAGAAGCATCAATAATTATTACTATCTTACAAAAACTCAAGCTTGTCCATCCATCCATTATCTTCCGCTTTATTCGAAGTTGGGTCGCTGGGGCAGCAGCTTGAGCAAGGAAGCCCAGACCTCTCTTTCCCCAGCAACCTCTTCCAGCTCCTCTGGGAGGACTCCAAGATGTTCCCAGGCCATTCGAGAGACATAGTCTCTCCAGCGTGTCCTGGGTCTTCCTCTGGGTCTCCTCCCAGTTGGACATGCCTGAAGCACCTCCCTAGGGAGGCGTCCAGGAGGCATCCTCACTAGATGCCCGAGCCACCTCAACTGGCTGCGGCTCTACTCTGAGTCTCATCTGGATAACTGAACATCTCAGCCTATCTCTAAGGGAGAGCCCAGGTACCCTGCAGAGGAAACTCATTTCAATCGCCTGTATCCCTAATCTTGTTCTTTTGGTCACTACCCAAAGTTTGTGATCATAGATTAGGGTTGGAATATAGACTGATCAGTAAACAGAGAGCTTTGCCTTACAGCTCAGCTCCCTCTTCACCACAACAGACAGAGTCCACAAAACTGTGGAAGCTGCACTGATCTGTCTCAAACTTGTTTTTATTTGAAATAAGAAATAAATGTTCTGTATGAAGCTCACAGAACAACCTGGGGTGTTTGTTTGATGCTTGGGGTCACAACTGACTCTGAATATCATTAAAACAGATGAATTGAACTGAATAACATTTTATTCCTTTGCTGTTGTTGGTTTTTATCAGACTTTCCGCAAAAGACTCTACATATAAATGAGCCTTTATGGGTAAATCTGGTACTAACGTTCATTAATGTTTTGTTATCTGTTGATAATAATCAAATATTAAAATATGAAACAGAGTGAGGTTTTAATTCTTACTCTTTTGCAGATCGTCAGCCAGCTCCTCGTGCTTCATTCCTCTCAGGAAGTTTAGGGTGATGTTCAGAAACAGGTTCTTGCTGTTTCCACTCAACTCTTCCTCCTTCTGGTTCTGGTTCTGGACCCTCCTCAGTCAGAACCTTCTGAACCTTCTTCAGCTCAGTTTTGACAAACCTGAAAATGTTCTCCTCCAGAAGCTGGAAGACGATCATCCACGGGTTAAATAAAGAACTTCGGCTTCATTTCTCACAGGACTTTGTAATACATCAATAATCTGAGTTTAAACTAATTCTCACCATAAATATGGAGTCCAGATCTGTTTGATGCTGAGGGACAGACTGATGGTTCAGAAGCTCCAAACACTGCTGGTTTAGAAACAAACTGTCTTTAAAGAAACACTTTGAAGCTTTTACAAACATATTGTCCTTATAGTTTTATAGATAAACTTTCCTCAAAGATGTTTTTAAGTTTGCAGCCCAGTTTATAAACCTGCTTTAAACCCAAGTAAAACCAGTTTTTATTGCGTGACAGAAAGTTTCAGTCAGATATCAGCAGAGAGTTGTCTGAGAGTAAAACCTCTCCTGACTTCCTGCCTGACAGGATTCTTTAGATCATAGCAGCTGTAATCTCGTGTCCCCTGAGGACAAAAAACAAAATAAACTCCTCACATCTGTCAGGACCGCTTTATGAAGATCCTGTCACTGATTTTCAGACAAACAGAAATGGAAACAGTTTGCTGCATCTATTAATAAATTATCTGCATTTGACAACAAATAGCTGCTTTAAGTGACATTCATTCAGAGTTAAACAGAGTGATGGGTTTTATGGCATGGTATCACAGTTGCTACATCCTTGTAGCAGGAGGTTATATCTATTCCTAACAGTTATTGATCTGATTGATGATAGGCCAGCACCACTAACTGAGCAGCTGGCCCTGCTAACTGAGAGGCCGGAGCTGGCAAATGAGAAGGAGACTATTCATTTGTGTTCACATTGGAGAGGCTAGCGACTAGTATGTTAGTTGCTAGCCTCTCTGATGCTAACGCCAGCTTATCCATGTTAGTCGCTAGCCTCTCTGATGCTAACGCCAGCTTATCCATGCTAGTCGCTAGCCTCTCCAATGCTAACGTCAGCTTCCTACTACAAGGATGTAGCAACCGCTAGTTGCACAATAGACTTAACTTTGGCCCTCATACCGCAGTGAAGGAAATTTTGTAACTGATTGATTGAATATTTGATGCAGTTTTGTATTTTATACTTTCTGATCATTTCAGCCTGTAAAGTTAAAGCAGACAGAGTTGGTGTGTCTTATGTGTTCTTTCTTTAGACTTGTCATGGAAACATTTACAGCGGGTAAAATAAGTATTGAACACGTCAACGTTTTTCTCAGTAAATATATTACTAGAGGTGCTAATGACATGAAATTTTCACCAGATGTCGGTAACAACCCAAGTGATCCATACATACAAAGAAATCAAACCATAAATGTCCAGAAATTAAGTTATTTGTAATTTCTGGACATTTATGGTTTGATTTCTTTGTATGTATGGATCACTTGGGTTGTTACCGACATCTGGTGAAAATTTCATGTCATTAGC